ACATTACTTGCACTCTTTTGAAAAACTAAGAATATAAGTAAAAACAGTTTGTGAGTATTGGGGTCTTGTCTGAAGGCTTGTGCCTTAGAAAACAGGCAGGCCAGAACCTACAGAACAGACTGCACTGCTGTTCGCCCAAGCAGATAAGGGTTGATAGCCCTCTGTGCAGGGGAACAGGTCTAAGGTGACATGTGTATAAGACCACGTCCTCCAGCGAGTGGTTTCCAAGCTCCTTGAAAACAAAGCTGTAAAACTTAATTCTTAGAGCTAAATTGAGTGCTTGTAATATAGATTACCCCCTTGCTTCATCTGTTGATTTTTTACTCTATAGAAATAAAGCTTGGAATGCATGGTTGCTTAATAATATGGATGTTTTTAAGTCAATTTTCTGGCTTCAGTGTTCCCTTTTAAGATTAGGATAGAATGAGGAATGTTAATTATAGACTATTGATTGATGTGGTGTACATGACTTACTGACTATAAAAAGACCCTTTGGAATAAAGATGATCGCTACTTGCCATCCTATGAGCAGTAGTCTGTTTCTTGCATTCATACAAATTTAGGCACGGAATAACACTTGAGGCAAAGCTCTCTCGGTTTCCTTTCAGAACCTTCAACCAACACATACCATGCTCATGGCTGGGAATAATCAACATTGTTAAAATGTCAATACTACCAAAAGCAATATATAATTTTAATGCAATCCCCATTAAAGCTCTACTGTTATACTTTAAAGACCTAGAAAAAATAATACTTCATTTTATATGGAATCAGAAAAAACCTCAAATACCAAAGACATTACTCAGGAACAAAAACAAAGTAGGAGGAATTATGTTACCAGGCCTCAGACCATACTATAAATCAATAGTGATCAAAACAGCATGGTACTGGCCCAAAAACAGAGAGGTAGATGTATGGAACAGAATAGAGAGCCAAGAGATGAATCCAGCTACCTACTATTATCTGATCTTTGATAAGCCAATTAAAAATATTGAGTGGGGAAAAGATTCCCTATTTAACAAATGGTGCTGGGCTAACTGGATGGCGACCTGTAGAAGACTGAAACTAGACCCACACCTTTCACCATTAACTAAGATAGACTCTCATTGGATTAAAGATTTAAATTTAAGACATGAAACTATGAAAATACTAGAAGAAAGTGTAGGGAAAACACTTGAAGAAATCACCTTGGGCAAAAATTTTATGAGGAGGACCCCTCGGGCAATTGAAGCAATGTCAAAAATATACTTTTGGGACCGGATCAAACTAAAAAGTTTCTGCACAGCCAGGAACACAGTAAATAAAGCAGGTAGACAGCCCTCAGAATGGGAGAAGATATTTGCTGGTTGTATCTCCAACAAAGGTTTAATAACCAGAATCCACAGAGAACTCAAACGTATTAGCAAGAAAAAAGCAAGCGATCCCATCTCAGGGTGGGCAAGGGACTTGAATAGAAATTTCTCTAAAGAAGAGAGGTGCGTGGCCTACAGATATATGAAAAAATGCTCTCCACCCTTAATCATCAGAGAAATGCAAATCAAAACTACTTTGAGGTACCACCTAACCCCACGGCTATGAGATTAGCCCATATCACAAAATCCCAAAACCAGAGATGTTGGCGTGGATGTGGAGAAAAGGAATCACTGCTACA